TTGTTTTTATAAAAATTTTTATTCCCTAATAAATTTTGTTATGTTATATTTGTTTTATTAATTTAGTTTTAATATTTTTTGTATAATTAACGTTCAGGGACCGATTAATAATAAACCTATGAGAGAGTCTATGGTATATACTGTATATATAATATAAATGTATATATTTATAAATATTTATGTTTTTAAAAAAAATAGATTGAGTTATTATAAACTTTATACTAATATTTTCAGTTTAAAACATTTAGTAAATATTAGGCTTTTACTCAATATGTTTAACAAAATAAAAAAATAAGACTAAATATATAATATTACAAAACATTAATTTCAATACAATTGATTACTATTTTTTAAAAAAATACAGATATTTTCTATTAATTAAAATTTTATACAAAATAATATTAAGTTAGTAATGTAAACTAAAATAATTGTTATTTTATTATTTCTTTAATTAAAACTATTGAATAAAATCTATTAGTTATTTGATTTAATTATATATTTACTTTTTTTATATTTTAATATAATGTAAGCTAGTATTGAAATAAAACAACAAAAAATATTAATTTTTAAAACTAACATTATTATTATTTTTAAGCTATTTTATATTAATTTATAAAAAAAATCATTTTTTCCCATTTTTTTTTTGTTTTTTAAAAATAAATATCTTTAGTTGAAGATTCTGAATTAATTGACTAATATTACATATTATTTTTTAAAACATAAATAAATTTATTTGAAAATATCATATAATATTATATTTTATTATATTTAAAAAAAGTTATATAATGTATAGACAAAAAAATAGTTTTTAACTTATAATATCGTATTTTTAAGTAATATAAAGTATTATATCTAATATATTAATTTTCAATATTTTTTTATTAAATTAAAATTAAATAGTTTTCAAAATATATGTAATAATACTACTATTAGTTTTTTTGTTGAAAATATGAAATCTTATATATTATTTGGTTTTATTGTTGTGTTTGTAACCAATGGTTTGCATTCAATTAGTATCAAACACTACCCGTCGGTAACTGAGGACAACTGCGGTATCAGTCGGCAGTCATTGTTGATGAACGGCGGAAACCACTGTTTCAAGTGGTCATCAAATAATAATGTGACCACAAGTGTCCAAAACGGACGGTTAGCTCAACCGGGAGAGTGGCCTTGGATTGCAATCATTGATATATACAAAACATTTTGGGGTTTCAAATATGACAAGTATTTATTTATATATATATATATATTTTTATTTAAATTAATTAATTAATTAAAAAAATGATATTATAAACTTTATATTTTTTTAAGTATATATTCCTTAAATAATAAAGTATATTATAATTTTTTAAATTATATTAAATTATAATAAATTAATATGTGACGGGTTTTGAGATGATCGATCCGTTTAGAAGCCAATATGTAGAGTTGACTCCGAGTGATGAGTGATGTTAGGCCGTCTAACGATACGATGAGTGTCCGATGAAAGAATAACACACACAATGTATATGAATAAATACTTTATTATTATTATATGGGAAATACAGAGTACCGATTACTGTTGGTCCGACACGGTCAACAGCACATAGGATAGACTGTCTAGTGTTACAGTATATTGTGTACTATTGATACCTCTGTGAGTACATTACATAGTACTAATGTACTATGTGTTACTCGTGAGGGGCAGTACTACATACTGTATCGGCATACTGAGCCATAGGGGAGCTAGAGGGGTGGAGTGACTTCAGCCGGTAGCAGACTCACTACCTAATTAGGTTCTTAATTCCTAACTGAAGTCCAGAACTCATCTGAAGATACCACTGATGGTATGCTACTTATATACAAGCGGCGGAGTCCACTAATTAGATAGGTGTTCGGGTATAATTGTTCTGAGGGGCTGCTTCAGAGGGGGGTCGGAATCAATTGCAGTGTCAGTAAAATATATACTGTTTTATACGGTAATTTTCGAAAGGTAATTAACTTTTCCCCTATTTTCTATGTTATGAGCCAATCAGAAAGTAATAGTATGTGAATTGGAAAGTGATTTATTACTCTATAAACTTTAGACCAATCAGAGAAAAGTAAAACTAAAACTTAGCAAAAAGTTAAGAAAACATTAATAACTTCTTAATTAGTTGAGCTATTGAGCTAAGATTCAAAAGTATTAAAGAGGACATTTTAAAAGACTAAAAATAATAATTTGTTTCATATTTACTAATTTATTTATTTTAAATAAATTAGTTTAAAATTCTAAACTCAAGGGAGACGCGAACTCGGGTATTATGCTTCACTATGTGAAACGCTAACCACTAAGCCAGTGAGGTAATGTTAATCAATAGTTGAATAAATAGTGTTTTCTATTTACTAAGTGATGCTCTGGATGAGTTGCTATGGGTAACGGGAAGACTAATGCTTTGCTATATAATACTATATAGCAATGCTATATAGAGAGTCAGTCCTTTACATTGAATATTGATTGTATACAAATACATTGAATATA